AAAAAAATTTAAGGGAGGAATATGATAAAAATATATATATGTATATATATAGAATTAAATTAACCTCAGGTTACTCTTGTAGCCAGGTTTAATTTTAAAATACAGTTATTTTGGGTACTATGAGATAAATCCGATTAAACTTTTGACGGCTTCGGTGGATTAGCAGTTTAACACCTCAGTTTCCTTCTAATGGTCTCGGGTTCAATTCCTCGGTGCAAATATTTCTATTTACGAGTATGATTTTTTGTATTACTCTGGGTGTTTTCTATGTATATTATGTGTGTATTTACAAACAAAATTAAATATTTATGCCAGTTGTGGAGTATCAATAACACATGCTCTGCTTAGCTTGGGACTGGATAGTGCTGTGATTGTCCAGGGATATTATTACATTTTATTCATAATTTAGGCGCCACACTATTGTTAGTGGAGCTCTTGTCATATTCCACGATCTTCCTTCATTCTCTTTAAACATTGAAATGACATGATGGCAAAAAATGCAACCGGATTCTCTAAAGTCGTAAAATTGTGAGTTATTGAGTATTAAACAGCCAAATTGCAATAGATCTTTAAAAATAGCGACCTGAGTTTGATTACTGCGCTGCTATGTCTTTCCTATTCTTCTGTATGGCATTGAAACGAGGACTCTTACAGAAACGATGTGTAGAGAATACAAACATTCTAAATGTGGGTTTACAGGAGAATGTTATAATATCGTGGAGGGACAGATTGCGAAACGAGACAGTTTTCCAAAGAGTAAAAAAGAACAGAAGTACTAAACACCATCAAACGCTGTAAACTGCTGTACCTGGATCACATAATGTGGAATGAAAAATACAGTCATTTGCATTTAATAATACAAGGAAAATCCAGGATTGCCAAAGACCATGTAGACGCCGTACTTCCTGGTTAAAGACCTTCAGACAGTGGTTTGGGTTGAGCACCAGGTCCCTTTTCAGGACCGACAGATAAAGTAAAGATCGTCATAATGATCGCTAACGTCCGATAGGAGATGGCACATAAAGAAGAAAGAGTAAATAACTTTACTTATAAAGTTATACTATTAGTCAAATTGTTACTCTACAACGTAGTAAGTTATGCACTCTACTTAACTATGTAATGCATACGATGCAGATTCTTTTCACTTAAGATGAATATGTTAGATTAATTCTATAGTGTAGTAACTTGAATTCTATTTGGTTAGTGATTTGCATAAACTTTCAAGTCACAAACTTGTAGCGATATATTAATTAACTCGTTTACCCGTAAAACTGCGTCTGTTTTATTACTTGACATTTATTTTTATATTTTGCCCAATATATATAATATATTTTTAAATTAGTTTCTTTAAAGTCCTTTCAGTAGTTTTTGTATGAAATAGTAACAGACAACCATCTATACAGCCATACACACAAACTATTGCGTTTATTATGATAAATATATCATATATATTACGTTTTTTTATATTATTTCAACATTACAATACAGTAGCAATCGACTCGTGTCGAATATGCTATGCACCGAAGAATACTGACCGAAATAAGAAATTACCTTCTTAAATATTATTAATAGATTTAGAAAGCATCTGTGTTAATTTCAGATTAGTTTCTTTTATTCGAATAGAACTGTGTGATCGTGTTTTCATAAATATAAATGTAGCATTATAATCGCCCTTTCTCTCTCTCGCTTTAATCTTTAAACTTGCATTCTCCGTCTCTGTTATTGCGGTGCAACGACCTGAAACGACGTGCTCGCATCCTTACATCTGCTGCAATAAGAACTTTTTGTATTTGCCGCCAAGTAAACTCTGATTTTTAGCGAGCAAGAGCGTCGTGGCCTATTAGTTTTCACTCCAGACTTAAACCACAGAGGTCGTCAGTTTGATACCAACCGATACTAAACATACTCTGTGTGTCTATTATATTTGCAACTGACTCTCTTCTGATGAAGATATTGAGAAGAAACCAAAATTAATACAAGTCGATCCCTGACATTTTGCATTCAAATATACTCAATGTTTGGGCTTTTTAGAAATTGTGTTCACAGCAATACCGACAGTTTTAGATGCATACTACCCTATCTGGGATTACAGTAAACATAAATATATTAATACTAGCTGTGCCCGCGATTTCACTCGCGTTAAATTTCAATAAAAAATATAGTCGATGTGTTATTCTGATACATAAGCAATGTTACTGTAGTTTCATAAAAATACGTTCAGTAATTTTGCGTGAAAGAGTTACGAACATTCATACTTACAATTGCGGGTTTATAATACTATTAACATTAAGATTATAATTTAAGTAAATTATTAGTGAAGCTCATAAATTTCTGGGAAGAGAAATACGAGCGGTAAAGGCGAGTGTAGACGTATATCGGCAAAGAGGCCCCTTCAACCTACACCTGAGTCACAAGTCCCGGGAACTGCTCAGAGGTTCCCTCTCTGCTACACGATGGACTCGGAACCCACACAGCTAATCCACGGAATGGTAAGAAGTTTGTCTCTTTCATGATTCTATATTCATAAATTTCAGTGTTGTAACACAAAACACATTTCAAATCAAACCGCTTGACGGCTGAAATATATGAGACTGAGTTTAGTACGAATTTCTATAAAGTCTTCCTTAATGAAATAGTAAATAGTTTTAAGATCATATAGAAAGTAAACTATCTTTCATGTCGAGGTTAAAATACTCATTTACTCACGTGTCAGGGATAGACGCACCTACTTGTTGTTGTATATATATATATACCTATATACCATAAAATTAATTGTACAATATACATACACGTTCCCTAATTAGCAGAACAATGGGGGATGTAATTTGTCAGTTTAAGCTGGCCCATAATGTACAAATACCGTGTAGTCAGAACAAAGGCCATGGCACGCTGTTAGTTCTTACACTTAAGGCCATAATTACATATCAAATATAATATTAAATATGCGATATTTATAGTATCATAAATCTTATTGTTGTTATATACTCCTGTTTAGCTTAAAAATTGCTTGACATTTTTCGAATGAGATGTCGTTTTTTGCGTAGAATATAACTATCTGCGTCTTAGATACCCATTCATTAAAAAATATTATTTAGTCAACGCCGTTACTCTTAGGTTGTGGAATTCACTTCCCGCTGTTTTCAATGCGATCAATCTCTTGCTAGCTTTAAAGTATTATAATCAGTAGTATAATCTCATTTCCTTTCCACTTTTCCTTTTCTCATAATCCCTTTCTTTCCTTCAAACTTTGCATGAATACGTGTATTATTTTGTTTATCTATGTCTATGTAGATAATTATGTATACATTTGTATGTATTATTCATATATTTGTTGTGTTGTTATGAGCACCACCTACTTTTTTCTCATATCTTTACCATGTACCTAAAGGTTGTCTGTTTATTAAACATTAAAACAAGGGAAGGTAGTCTAATAATTAAATACACTAATGTGTAGTATCAATTAAGTCTCTGCTCAGCACACGCCATAACTAGGTGGTTACGACGCTTGTATTATGGGGATAATATTCTGAACTTATATACATACATTATATATTTAAATACATATTTTAAAGAGTATCATATTCTAGTATTTTTCTACCGGGATAGCAAAACACTAGAACTTTATACTTGAACCGAAAGGTCGTGAATTCAAAACTAAGGGACACTAAAGAATCTTTGTAATCAATTTATATTTATAACCGACTCTTCTGACACTCTGGATGAGGCAGTACTCTCGCTCCAGTTTTTAGTAAATTATCAGGTAATTGACTGAAAACTGAAACAGGAAATTGATTGAAACTGAAATAGGAATGCCTCTTCCAAGTTGCGTTTAAGACGACATCTGAGAATATTAATTATTCATTTATTTACGTGCCCACTTTTTATGTCCGCAAATGTATTACCGTACGAGCAAATTGCTCCATTGCGTTCTTACCGACCGCACACAAAGCGTAGCCATACTGAGGCGCGAGAATATATATACAAATTGTAATTAAACCATTCACCCCCCACCAGGTGGTTTATATCCGGCCATAATTTACTGGAGGCAGGCAATCGGAAATTTATTTTGTTTGTTGGGGTAATGTTAAACTAGCGACTGGTCTGTTCTGTTGTGATGTAACAATAACATTAAGTGGGTTGGTTAAGTTAAGGTGTGTTCACATTGCATGTGCTATGCTAGTAGATCAATGATCAACCCAGTACACATTGTCTCACCTATTCCAGCCATCCTTGAAACCCAACTTTGGATTCAGACGTGCTTCCTCCTGGGTACACTTAGATTATGGGATGAACTACCTGCCAAGGTCTCTAGAGACTACATCATGCGGTTTTTAGGAAAGGTATATCAATATATACCCATGCATAAAAACAGCATTAAGTGGTAGTTTACCTTCAGATGGGCTGTATGCTTGTTTGCCATCATCCAAGATGCTTCACAGAAGTCTTGCTTTTTTAATAATTAAAATCAAAATATTGCTGTCTACCATATGTGTAAATGTAATATAACAACTAGCTTTTGCCCGCGGCTTCGCTCGCGTTAATTAGGGGTGGAATTTATCAAAATCCTTTCTTAGGGGATGCCTACGTCATAGTAGCTTCATCCATGCAAAGTCTCAGCCCGATCGGTTTAAAATTGACAAAGTTTCATACAAAGTTTCATCCCCTATTTTATCCCTTTGGGGGTAGAATTAATCAAAATCCTTTCTTAGCGGATGCCTACGTCATAACATCTACCTGCATGCCAAATTTCAGCCCGACCCGTCCAGTGGTTTGGGCTGTGCGTTGATAGATCACTATGTCAGTCACCTTTGAGTTATATATATTTAGATTCTAAATATATGAACATGTTGTAAATTAACTCTAAGTTTATATTGTCTTAATATGTGTAACAGAAGTAGAGGTACCGCAGGCGACTTTTTACAAAGTCTGCTCGAGTAAAAATACATACATCAATATGACATACATTTAATTAATTTATAATATAATTAGCTGTACCCATGTTTACACCCTCCTAAAATTTATACATAGCCTCTGTTATTCTGATATATAAGTTATTATATATCTAAAAAACACACAATTTCTACTGTATAATATCATCAAAATCGTTGCTCGCTATTGGCGTGAAAGTGTAACAAACATCCATCCATACTGACAACCTTTCGCGTTTATAATATTAGTAACAAATAACAAGATTCCATACATTTGATTATATACAATTAACAAACCAATCAATTAATAAATATACAACACTTCTCATTGTCTGAACAATCTGTGGCTTCTGCAAATAACAGGAACTTAGGGCAGTGAGAGTCTGATGCTATACATTCACCCCCTCGACGCTTGCACCTTGTAGTGGAGTTTGGAGCTGAAAAAAAATGTGTATTAGATAGATAGATAGATAAATCGTATATTCACCCATTACAGACACATCTTAATGTATATAACTCAAAGGTGACTGACATAGTGATCTATCAACGCACAGCCCAAACCACTGGACGTATCGGGCTGAAATTTTGTAGATGACATGCATGCATAGCAGGCAGGTAGATGTTATGACGTAGGCATCCGCTAAGAATCCTATGGGGATAAAATAAGGGATGATGCAGGATGTAAATGTATTAGTTTGAACCTATCAGTACCTAATGTTTTTGGTATATGTGTTTATTATATTATTTTTCTTTTGTTTGATTTTCTTGATCGCATTAACTTTTTTTTTTCGCTTAATGATTTGTATTGTATTTATTATTTCTATTTATATGTTATAATAATTTATATGCTGCTGTGAGCATCGTCATTGTTGTGTTGTGTTGTGATGTGTGATAGTAATAAATATTATTCTATTCTAATGGAACGAATAAATTAAGACGAACAAAATAATTTTTAGTTCTTTAGGCTACTTTTATTCTGGAAAAATAAAATATAATTCCACGCGGATGAAGTCGCGGGAACAGCTATTAGTGTCATAATTTGCTATAAATACTGTCTTAATAATGGAGTAAAAAGTGGGTTGTTGCTACTATCTTAAGAATGTTGATAGAGGGCGCCACTAAGTTATGCTGTGGAGATAGGAGCATATTTTCCAGACTATTTTTCTAGAATAAATATCTGTGTCTATGGCTAGTCTATGGCGCCCCATGTCATATTGGTGGTGGGGCAATAGCTACTACCGGAGAGAATACATTCGAGAGGACGCTTAGGTCTTGATAGTCGAGTAGTAAACAACTAAGTAGTACCATTTGGAGTTAATATAATAATAGCAGAAATGAATTACAGAAAATACATGAACAAATAAAAGAAATGGAGGTAGCGTTATGTGCCGCAAAGGTGAATAGGCAACCAGCTCAGCATAATGCTACAGATAAACAGAAACGGACGCATTTATTTATACTAGTAGTCGTCTAATAATCAAAATGCGACCTTAATTAATTTACAAACTTGAAAAAGTATTATCATTATGCACGCCTTCTCTAAATCTTATATATAAAATTCTCGTGTCACAGTTTTCGTTCCCATACTCCTCCGAAACGGCTTGACCGATTCTCATGAAATTTTGTGAGCGTATTGAGTAGGTCTGAGAATCGGCCAACATCTATTTTTCATCCCCCTAAATGTTAGGGTAGTCCAACCCTATTTTTTTTTTATTTTAAGACAAAACAACGTTTGCCGGGACAGCTAGTAAACTGTGTGTGTAATTTTATACTCCTATGTCGTCGCAATTTTCGTAATAAGGGGCACAAAAATTTTGCTTCATGTATATAGAATTACTGTTTATTGTATACAGACAAACACAGATTAATAAAAGTAAGTAGTTAAAGAGTTTTACAAAAGGCCGTTTTATCGCTATAAGCAATCTATTACAAGACGACTTAATAATAAAAAAAGTAGTAAGGTACATACAGAAAAGGCAGGGGATACACTATATTTGTTATATACTTATATTATAGACAAACATACACATACATAATAACCCTGGACAACTCACACAGCGCCATCTAGTCCTAAGCTAAGTAGAGCACTAACATAAATAATAATAAGATTTTTTTTAATACATACACACTAAGATAGAAAACATTAAGACCGATACAAACAATCATACTCATGAATACAAATGTTTGTATCATATGAGAAATCGATCCCGCGACCATCGGAAGTAAAGCGGTATGCAATGCAATAAATAAATTTACATACTTATTACTATTTTCAAGATAAAGTCAAATAACTACTCACATTTATAACAACACTCGACATCTTGCTTCTGCTGGATTGGACAAAGCCCGTTTAATTTTGATAATTTACCATCTGGACACTCCGATTTTAAGACGCACTCTCCGCCATATGCGAGGCATGGTAGCTCGTTATAGATGGCTTCTGGTGCTAAAATCATAAAAAAAATGTTTTAACAATAAGGCTGCCTTATTTGCATTTATATATTTATACACATGTATTAATAAATTCAAATTCAAATTTCAAATTCAAAATATATTTATTCATGTAGGTCTATTACAGACACTTATGATATGTCAAATCTACCGTCAGTTCGGAATGATTTCGAGATGAGAAGAACTGACAAGAAACTCAGCTCGTATTTTTTTTTAATGTTGTACATATTTCCAATAATACTATTTCATTTAAATTCAAATTTGGGAGAATAGAGTGACCACCAGCATATGCCATATAAAAAAATCAAAAAAATCAAAAAATCTAATCAGTGTTCGCAACCTGAACAGACCACCCGACAGCAGACAAGCAGCACCCGTTCACGAGTATGACGGATGAGCCAGCCATCATTGCACTCAACCATATTAGAGGGAGCACATCGACCCGGCCCACCACGCCGCCACAAGTTTGAACTTTATAGCGAGCATGACTGTTTCAAGTTACTCCACTACGTCATTTATATTATTTACAGCATAAACTGTTCCAATCACAGTTTTCACCCATTACAATATTTAATTTACATTATTTAAATTACAATATGTCATAAATAAATTTAGAATAAGTTTCTTTAGTGTTTATTACATTATCAATGTCAATGGGAAAGTTATATACCTCATAACAAAAGTTAAAATTGTAATTAAGTCCACGCATTGCAGTCATAAGTAGTCGTTTATTTTATAATACGCTTTAGCGCAAAGTGTATTTTTTACATGTATCTTAAATTTTCCTTCATTTAAATTCAAAATATTATCGGGCAATTTATTATAAAAACGTATACAATGTCCCATGAAAGATGTACTTACTTTTTTGAGACGAAAACTAGGCACATTTAAATATTTAAGTTTTACTTTTCTCTTTTCTGTATAATATAGATAAAAGTATATTCTATCTACATAACTATAGCTTATCACAAAGTCACTGTCGCTGTCGCTGTCTGCCTATGTATGTGCTTTAATCTTTAAAACTACGCAACAGATTTATAATCTGTTTTTTTTAATAGATAGAATGATTCAAGAGGAAGGTTTATATATATAATACATGTACAGGGCGAAGCCGATGCGAGTAGCTAGTAATGTATATTAAACACAAGTTAAAAATAACTATTGGTTAATATATTAAAGAATACAGTCTAGTTAATACGCTATACTCACTATTACTTAAACGTGATAGAGCATTAAGCAACCACTATGTGGCTATTACTTAAATGCAAGCGTTTAGAGAATTGTTGCACAATGCGAGTCGTCAAATAATGACTCAGTCGAGAGCATTAATTACCTAACTCTGGAGGAGTCTGCATTATATGTATATAACAAATTAGCTGACCCGGTTAACGTTGTTTTGCTACACTAAATAATAATAATAATAATAATCTCAGGACAATTCACACAGTGTCATCTAGACCCAAGTTGAGCTGGCTAAAGCTTGTGTTATGAGTACTAGATAAGTGATACATATACATAGATTTTTTTTATAAATACGTACATATTATACATAGAAAACACCCAGACCGATACAAACAATCATACTCATGAATACAAATGTTTATGCCGTGCGAGGAATCGAACCCGCGACCATCGGTCGTAAAGCGGTGTGCTTGACCGCTAGACCACCGAGGTCGTCTAATAATATCACTATTTAAAAATATGGATTGTTCTTAAAGGGATAGGATTATAGATTTATTACCGAATAAAAAAGTAATTTCACAATAAAAATATACGTCAAGTGTATTTATTATTATCGATTCTCAGACCTACCGAGTTTACATGTAAAATTTCATCAAACGGTAAAACAGTTTGGTTGATGTATAGAAACACTATTATAAATGTATAAATTAATGAATTTTAATAATATAAGTTTTTTACAAATAACACAGATTAACACATGGACTACTTTTCCGTACTACATCGCGGAATAAAAATAGCAATTGTTTAAAAAAGTATGAATATTTTTAAAGAAAACAATAGTACAAATAAACACTGGCCATCACAATTTCCAGAAAAAAAAAATAAACGAAAGATACATACAATTCTCGCTTCCAGCGCCGTCATCATTTCCAGCTACAGCACTGAATACGACCACCGAACAGAACAGTACCGACCACATTATTATTGTTTCTTTGTACTATTTTTAACTTTAAAAAGCTTCAAACATTTTTTAAATTTTAAAACACTGGCCATCACAATTTCCAAAAAAACAAAATTAATGAAGAGAAAAAAATGAAAGATATACCATTCTCGCTTCCAGCGCCGTCATCATTTCCAGCTACAGCAGTGAATACGACCACCGAACAGAACAGTACCGACCACATTATTATTGTTTCTTTGTACTATTTTTAACTTTAAAAAGATTCAAACTTTTTTTTAAATATTAAAACACTGGCCATCACAATTTCCAAAAAAACAAAATTAATGAAGAGAAAAAAAATAAAAGATATACCATTCTCGCTTCCAGCGCCGTCATCATTTCCAGCTACAGCAGTGAATACGACCACCGACCAGAACAGTGCCGACCACATTGTCAATGAATTCATCGCCTACCGTTACGGCAATGCAACACGCGAACGTAACACCGATGTTATAAAGAATCGCGTAAGTATGCAAATTAGGTTCTTTGTGTCGATAACCGCTAATTGACTGTCTTTATTCCTTATATGTGGCCGGTGATATTAATTTTATTATGTTTAAAAATAATGAGGCTTCATTTTGTTGACGTTGTACTTTTTGGTATATTATGCAATACGTGCGGTTCTGAATTGCAACAGACGGAGTTTTTTCCTGTATTGTGCAATGCAGTAAAGAAGGCCGGACCCACTTGTATATATATATATATATATATATATATATCACGTATATAAGACGTCCACTGCTGGACATAGGCCTCCCCCAAAGATCTTCACGATGATCGGTCCTGCGCTGCTCGCATCCAATGCCATCCAGCGATCTTGACCACATCGTCGGTCCACCTTGCTGGAGGCCTTCTCACGCTGCGTCTTAGGGTCCGTGATCGCCACTCGAGGACTTTACTGCCCCAACGGCCATCTGTCCTATAAGCTATGTCCCTGCCCATTGCCACTTCAGAGTCGCATGGTCGTATTCTGATGCATAAGCTATATTACTGTAGAGTTTTATCAAAATCCGTTAAGTAGTTTTTGCGTGAAAAAGTAACAAACATCCATGCTCACAAATTTTCGCGTATTATATATATATTGTGACTTAGTTGGTCATATGCTGTTGCACAGATGATATAAATAAAACAAGTATTGTATAATAGATTATGGCCAAGAAATGTACACCTTTTCAGATGATTTTATATATTACAATGGCATAAGAAGCAGACGGTCTTTAGTTAAGTGATAACTAACGCCTATATATGTATTTACATGAACAGCAAGCACTACATCACGTTATCATGTGTTTAAATATCTTCTGCCTAGTTACAAAACGCTCTAGTTCACACTGTCCGGTCCCAGAAATACACCCTCGTATGTAGATGTAGAAAGCACTTAATATGTTTTTTGTTTCCTGTCTCTATGTTCATATAACTACATGTCTGTGACTCCACTTCTTACAAAAATTATTACTATGAAATTATTCTAAAATAACTAATTAAACTGGTTGGTGGAAATTTTGTTATAAGGATAAGGATAGTTATTTTATTATATTATCTTCAAACAAGTTTTAGAATTACATAAAAATGAAAAAATAGATTTTCAGTAAAAAAAAAGGAATACCTATCTTTATCTCATTTATATGAACAATCCAAGATAGTATAAATATTCAAATTTCAAAATTCAAAAGTCATTTAGTCATGTAGGATATTTTAGCCGTTTATGAACGTCAAATTTTTACATTATTATTTTTTTCCCCTACTGTCCAGTTCTGTATATAGATTCAATTGAGAGGAACTGGCAAGAAACTCAATTGAATTACTTTTTTTTAAAGCCAGTTTACAATGTATAGTTGTTTATATAAGTGTCTATGTCTAACATTAAATGAAAATCCCGTACATGAACAACTATTTCGATGCACGCTCGTCAAGTAATCATTTAGTGAGTAATAGGCTTTGCTCAGTAAATATGATTTAATTTATTATTTACATTAAAATAAATGTAAAAGATATTGAAATTGTAATGAATTTTCAGAATAACGAATAAAATACCTTTAAATTTACTGTAATAATAGAGTAAGCCGAGTAGAGCGTACGAACGTAAATATTTACGGCAAAATTTCGTTTGTTAGTATTGCTGTCGCGTTTAGTTGAGAGGAGATAAGGTCTCTAAATAAAGATAGAATGAATACTGAAGAATAACTATATCGTAATTCTATTGCGTGGACGACTTCTCTTAAGTTGCCGAACCGCCATATCTATACACATATATACATATAAATAAAATTGGAGTGTCTGTTTGTAATATTCAAATAACTGTTTTTACTACATGCATATGAATATAAATACGGTACATGCACCAAAATAACATTATTTACAATTTTTGTCTGTCTGTCTATTTGTTGAGGTGGATAGACTGTGTGAAAGATGATATGGTAGGAAAGGAAGTAAATAACGCGATGACTGCGAACAGGGATGAATGAAAGAGAAAAACATATTACGCAGACCCCAAATAAATGGGATAAGGAAGAAGCAGATGATAATGATGATGATATCTATTTGTTAAGGCTAATCTCTGAAATGGCTGGACCGATTTTGACGGGACTTTTTTTGGCAGCTAGCTGATGTAATGAAAAGTAACTTAAGCTGCTTTTATTTTAGAAAAATAAAGTTAATTACCACGCGGACGAAGTCGCGGGAATAGCTAGTACCTAATAAAAGTCTCATCTCTATTTACCCTGTATCTAATTTACATATTTTACGAAAAAAACGCAACAAAATTCTATTCAAGGAAAAAATTATACCACTCACTAGGTCCAACAAGGTTTATTACTATGTAAACATACAAATTTTCATATAAAATTATGTATGTGTGTGTATGTCTAATAATGCGTGAAATATAAACAGTGACACTAAGTTCATAATTTAATTTTTAAATTTGATAAGTCTGATTGTCTATTATAACTATAATAACATTTTAATACTTGTATATCGTTTCTTCTTACATAAATTCACAAATATGTAAAGTTACAGATTTAGTTGACGATATTCGTTGGTGAAATTCTTTATATTTTCTTAATATGGCTTGGCTTGTTACATTGTGCATTCGCCAAAAATGTTTGAGAACATACCCCATATAAGTAATAAAAATAAAGTCTATTCAAAATTATTTAAATTTAAAATCGTCAACTGACTTTTACTGGCCCCAGTTAGCCTTACAGCTTCACCGAACGATACAGGGTGAGTGTAGATAATACTCAAACCACCGGAAGGACTTATAAAAACGGCCGAAGTCCAACTACTGCCTGGCGAAAAAAGTGCAGCAGTGTACTTTAGCAGGGAATTCGACTCTATGAATCACCCGATCGAACTATTCGGCCAAAACATCCCGTGGGTTTCGAAAACGAAATATCTCGGCGTCACCCTAGATAGGAAACTAACGTTTCGTCCTCACATCAAGCGTGTCCGCGACCGAGCCGCCTTTATACTAGGGCGGCTCTATCCTTTTATTAACAAGCACAGTAAAATGTCGCTTCGCAACAAGCTGACATTATACAAGGCTTGCATCCGTCCCATCATGACCTACGCTAGTCCCGTATTCGCCCACATACCCTACTGCTTAATCAACAGACTGCAGGTCATTCAGAATAGGTTTCTGCGTCGAGCCATCGGTGCGCCGTGGTTCGTTCGCAGCGTAGATCTCCACCGCGATCTTAATCTGCCCTCCATCCAGCAGTTTATGAAGGAAGCGTCTCGACGCTACTTCGACTCTGCCCAATCCCACCCCAATCCGCTTATAGTCAGTGCGGTCGACTACGCACCGAGAAGTAATATCCGACATACGCGACAACGTCGCCCGAGGCACGTTCTCATTGACCCCGACGACCCCATAACGGCAGGTAACCTCCCCACGGGCCCACCCGTTCCACCCCGACCACACTTTTACACACACACACGACACCGTCCTCGCCGGCGAAGACGACGACCTCAAACACACAATATCGCGCATTCAACCGGGCGCCTGCGCGCGCCCGGGCGCTCCACACCGGCGCCCCCCGGGCGCCCCTCCGATCGATCCCCCGTCCAATTCAAACGGGAATCGAAATTACGACGGCCTGAGCCGAGGTTCGAACCCCTAGTGGTGCCCTCAGACTAAAGTCGTATCCGTCGGGCAGGAGTTGGCCTTCAGCCGCTCCATAAGTCCTTCCGCGGGTTTGGAGTGCCATCTGCACTCGCCCCATAACGTCCGGTGAAGCTGTAAAGGCCAGCTACGGCCAACAGCATTAGAGTAGTCCGAAAAAAAAAACTACTGCCTGACTGATATGACTATAGTCTGAGGGCACCGCTAGTAAGAACCTCTACTCATGCTGTCGTAATTTCGTTCCCTTATTAAATTGGACGGGGAATAGGTCCAATTCAAACTGTCCTTATTAATTGACTATTATTATATTTAAACGATTCTCAGTTCAGTTTAATGTATTTTAGTATCTTATGTAATCACTTTCACATGTCTATATTATAGCAACAATTACTTAGGATTTTGGACAGAAAATAAATAAAAAATATTAAACAATTTCATAAATAACATTATTTTATTGTACATCATAACAATAAAATACTTTTACATTTCCATTTACTGTATTGAAAATGATTTCATATTTTAGCGTCAACTGTTAAAATTTCATTATTAACTTTTGAATGTTCCGTTTTATGCCACAAAACAGGATGTTGGAAACTGCCGGCGTTGGTACGGAACTACGAATATTTCAAAATTCGAAGACAATGACCTGCTAATTTATTCACGTTCCATTCAATTAAGTTTTATTTTAAATTGTAAAAAGGCCCCTAAAGGATATTACGCCGAAAGACTACAAAATCCTTCAGTTGCAAAGATGTTGCGTAAATACATATTATAATTTGTATTTTAGAATGAAATTTTACATGCCTCAAAGACTCTACATCACTTTATATTATGTATGTTTTTGTGCAGAAAAATTACATTACTTATAAGTTATTTATTATTGTTAAAGATGTTCCAAAAATAAACTACAAAATACTTATGAAATAATATTTTTAATTCACACAGCGCCATCTAGTACCAAGCTAAGGAGACTGTTATTGGTAATAGACAGCCGATAGAAATACAAAGATATATTTATTTACTAAATACATACATAATATACATAGAATAGATAAGATATC